AATCCAGCAGACAAGCAGGATGGAGCAGCAAACAGGATAAAAACACCGGACTCAAACCTGCTGAATCTATACTAGCTGCAAAGTGCCGTAGATCAGCAAAGTTTAAAACACAAAATTGTACAACCAACATCAGAATCTTCACAGCCACCAGTCAAAGGAAGCCCATGACGGTCCAACCGTTGGAATCAAACTGCTGATTTCAGCAGAGATGGTTCTTTTTATAAGGAACAAAGTCCAAGTAAGGTACTAAATAAACATGTACTGTACCATTAGTCTTCATTGTATTTCTTATACTGCGGTGCAGTTCCTTCTTCTAAACCATTGTTTTCTGATGCATCGTTTTGCAGCACAACTGTGACACTGAGTATGGCTCACTGTAAAAACAGAAAACTTTTCACCACACAAGGAAAATCACCTATAGCTGGTACAGCATACCTGGTTTTTATACTTAATATTACATAATATATGCACACTCTGAAGACCATTAACGGAAGTTCAACACGGTCAAAGTCAAGTCACAGTTCTGTATTATTGCCATTTTTCCAGGCTGAGATAAATCTCCTATAAACAGTCGCGGTACCGTAACTGTTGCCTTAGGTAAGAAACAGCAGAGGATTATATACAGTACAAATCAAGAATCTTTAGTTGAATTATATTTAATGAAAAATATGCTGCATTGTTGCCACTAGTTAGATTGTGCGAGATAAAAAAGAGTGATGGCGGTTTGGAGTGTTTTTTTAATTTCTCCACATGATGAAGATGCGTAAATAAACATTTCCTTTGTAAATTTGAAATTAAAAGCTAACATTTAATTAATGAATAAATGATGACCAAGTATATAAGTGTGTTATGTGTGTGTCATTTGAGCATGATCATGCTGCCTTAATGAGAAAGCTTTTTTTGTTTGTTTGTTTGTTTGTTTTTCTAATGCATTGGTGTGTCTACCTGGTTGGCATGTAGAAGTTGGTGTGTGGCTAAAAGTTTTAGACTTTTTTACTTTTTGTCCTTCTGCAATGTATATCAATTGTTTACCAATATAACCTTACATTTTATAAAAGACCAGAAACTTATAAATGTAATTTTAACCCTCGGGCCATCTGAAAAGCAAACTACTGATAAGTTTGTAGGAGGACACATCTGTTCACACAGGTGTGAAGCTTCACTGACAGATGTCTTTACTTCCTCTGTTTGCTTAACGTGTCTTGTCTCCAGAGGTCAAATGTGTTAACATTGTGGAAACAACAGCAGTCACTTAGTCTGTTACGGTATTCCATCTTAAAACACATCCTGGTCAGAACTACTGAGAAATACTGCAGCATCACATCAGAGCACAATGAATGAATAAAGAACAAATAAAGTAGAGATAAAAAAGATTGAATAGGCACATAAAGATGAGAGCGAGCAAAAGAATATTAAAAACCCCACAAACTCGGACGGAAATCTGCATTTTCCTAAAAACAGAGTTGCACGTTGCATCAGCAGTATCTTAATTAGAGCACAATCAGTCATTGGCAGGTCTCTCCAGTATTGTCATGCATCTCTGTCTACATCAGTGCCGATTATTGTGATAATGTCTAAACCTCTGTCTGGCCATAATTTATACATTGTGAATCACGGTCTTGTTGTCTCTGACTTAAAAGCCTCTTGTTTTCCCTGAATCAACAAATCAAAGGCAGAACCCTTTCCCTCCTCCACCCACCCCTAGGGGGGTTACTATTCAGCAATCAAGTCACTTTCCATCCACCCCTCATTCACACCATAACTTTCTAACTGGCAGGTTGACACCATCTGCATTATCAACAGCATTGTTTATGCCAGTCTAAAGGCCTGCGAGGGCTAAGAGATTGATTAAAACTTACAATATAACAACGTTGTTCACGTCCGACAACATAATAAGAAGCAGCTGCTGCTGCAGGGAAGGCCAGGGGATCGTTATAATGAAAATGGTTTATCTTTTGCTTGAGATGATCTTTTTTTTTTTTAGATATTCCCTGGCAAACTGCCCAAGAGGTGATTTTTTTTTATCCCATCTTAAATATAATGGCCTAAGGCTTTCAAGGAAAAGCAACAGTTTGCCAAATATCTTTACAGTAACCACACAGGAATAATATTGAAAGACTCAACCAAATATTCTTTGATAAGCCTTGAGGCTAATAATTATAAAAAATACAAGTCTCAATACACATTAAAGAAATACGTGTCAGTTAAAGTCAAGGTATTACTAAAAAGGAAACAATTTAGCATTTAGTTAAATTTTGGGCTTAGACCAGTGTTTTTCAACTTTGGGGTAAGGACCCCATTTGGGGTCGCCCAGAATTCAAATAGGGTTGCCCAAACTCATTTGCACTAATCTATCTACTCTGTATTTGCAACACAGTATAACATACATGGCCGAAAACTGATTCTAGAAAAAAGAAATAGTTCTGGGGTTGCCAGCAATGTGTGATGTCAAAATGAGCCCCAAAAAAAAAAGGTTGGGAACCACCGGCTCAGACGTTGGCAGCTGTCCAGGATGGCATCTTGAATCATTGGATTTCTGCTGCAAGTTTGCACAACATGTCCTGATACTATGTCACAGCATGACTTTCAGGTGGGCGGATGCTTATGTGTGGAACCCTACGCTTTCACTTTCACACATCCTGCAGCCTTGACTGTCAAGATGATTGATTTGACTTGTGAAGGCAGACAGGTTAAGATAGAAACATGTCTCTTCTGCACTGTATCAAAATAAAAGCCACGCAGCTCTGTTTCTTTTATGTGGTGGAGTGTTGCACTGACAGGACAATCACAAGCAGGCAGCAGAACAAGAGCAGAGAGTGGTATCCCAGTGTGTTTAAATAAGCTACTGTAGTTTTGAACAACTTGCAAGGGGAAAGAAAAGCTAAGAGGAGAGCGTCACAGACTGACAGTACAAGGGGGGTAGATTGATATTTTGGAAAACATGTTTTTTTATTTTTTTCTCTTCAGATACTCTTCAGCTGTTTAAAACTCCACAACTGCCCTGCTGTCCTTTGCCATCATTGTTCTCCACCATCAGTCAAAAACAACTCAGCTGCAACCGTGTTACAGAGAAACTATGTATGAATGAAACAACAGAAAAAGTAGAGAAAATAAGATTTAATGATTTCCCAGTGTGAGTGTTTTGGAATGTTCAGAGTTCAAAATATTTGAAATCAGTTGGACTTTTAGTTATATCTCATTATGTAAAATGGTTTAAAGCAGGGGTCTCAAACTAATTAGAGGCCGCTGCTGCCACCATCATGTCACTGGGGGCCACACAGTGTTTAAAGGTAAATACAAAAAAAAAAAAAAACAGATTGTCTGGAAAGAATTGTCTTTTATTAAATATCTTTAATAATTAAAAAAATAAATAAAACTAACAGGGACTGGTTAGAGAATGGACTAAAGTCATATAAGAAAAGTGTATGAAAGGTAAAGTACATGGTGACTGTAGTGAATCGTAGCAGATTTAAATACACTGCAGCCATCAGCTGATGCCAGCAGCTCCTCCTGAATGATCTACAGACAAGACATCTAATGTGTCCTGGCACTGGTCCTGGTTACGGAGGTGTCCAAATACAACTTACTAACTGAAAGCCTCAAATAAATCTGTTCATCATTTAAGAAATATTTTAATCCTCTTTTTACTCCGGGCTTCTAGTCCTGATTAACTCATTTATCGTAGCCCGTTGTAAGTTTAATGATGAACTCTGTCTAGATTCTCTCAGCGTGTATCTAAGTTATCTACATAAATGCATTCAGGCAGAGTTGGTAAGAAACAGTCAAACACGGTGCTTAAACCTTGATCAATATTACGATATGTAATATCCCCCATTCTGCCTTAACAGAGCCGCAGCTGCTGCTGCTGGTGTCCAGCTGCTCACTCGTTGAAAATAAGCAGCATATTAGATTTTTGTTTGGTTCAACAAGGCAACAGGGAAGACCCCAGTCCTCAGTGCTTTTAGGTGTTACTGTTTGTTCTGCCTTGTTAAGAGGCAGCTGTACGAAAGGCAACAAAAGGATCAGAGAGGGTGGAGAAAATAACAAGCAACCATGCTGAGCAGGAACGACCCAATCTGTAGTAACTGAAAACGTTAGGCACCAGCTCTATACAATTCTCTGTAATAAAAAAAAACATGTTTTAACAAAACAACCTTACTTGTGTCTAAAAAATTACAACAAAAATTTCAAAACTTCAAAACAGCTTAGAGGACCTAAATCTGGTTAGTGATTAGGAACGAGGTAGAATACAAGTTATTTTTAAATATGTATTTAGTCAGTAGTCAGACAGCTGCTAGTTACTTGTATATCAATTGGAGTAATTGGAGTAATGTAATTTTTTGGCATTGAAAGCTTGGCATTGCCTTTCTACTAGCAGTTTCATCATCATATTATTATTATTATTATATCACAAGATGAATAATTTGATAATTCATTTCAATGATGTAAGTTTGTCACTGAATCTAAAATCTATTTATCTATTTTATGATTTTTTTTTCTTCTAATATTTACAAACACAGCCTAAACTAAGGGCCAATAACCCAGACACAACAAACCACAGCTTGAGAGACACAGGCAGAAATCTATGTTTCCAGTCAGAACAACAGGATAACAGATTTATAATTTCAAACAGGAAGTGACATAAGAGTTTCAGTTCATACCCATCAAACCTCTCTGTATCATAGCCCCATTGGTATTTCCAGCAAATGTCCTCAATCAAAGAAACACATTTCACAGATGTGATGTCATGCCTTTTATCCATCATTCAAACACATTAAGAAGCATGCTTTCTTGTTGTCTTCTGCAAGAAAACACTAATGGCCTACCATCACCCACATCCCTGCCTCCCTTCTCATCTCCTTTCCTCTCCTCCTTTCCCCTCCCCTCTCTTCACTCCTCCTACTCTCTCCTCTCCTCAGTATGTATTAGACAACAGGGTCAGACATGAAATTCAAAGGAAAAATCACAGCTTGTAAAAGAAGGAATTCCTCCATCTTTACCTTTTAGTGCAGTCAGAGGTGGACGCTGTGATTCAGCTGCTGCTGATGCTTCTCAGCTTCAGCTAACAACATCACGTGACCAGGAACCATCTGCTCCTGCTGCCTGGTCATATGACCAGATTAGTTTCTGGCAATGCATTCTGGGATTTGTAGTCTTTTGGATCCCCAAGACAGAACAAGTATTTTGTAAAAATGTAGAACAAATTAATGATAAAAGCTTAATCTGACCAAATTAAATAAAAACATACAGGAGGTCACCTTCAGGAAAAAAAACATTATCCTGACTCTACTGCAGGGGTATTCAAAGCTCTATTTAACACAATTGAAAAAAAAAAAATCTTTTGCATATTGCTTATTCCATGGACTTTACTATAACCATTAGGAAGTAAACCAATACACCGCTACACTATTATAAGTTGTTATAAAAATTGATGACTCTGATTTAAATTCTAGCGGACTAGATTCTTCGGCAATTTGAATGTAAGGCACTGAAAGCAATACAGGGAATTGTGAAGTAAAAATGATATGAGGACAATGACAATGTGTAATTTCCACTCACTCTGATATTGAATCAACATATGTTTGTGAGAAAATTAAATGTTATTACATACCTAAAAACTCTAAGAACATATTGAAGCAGGAAATTATACAAGTTTAGCAAAGGAAGATAACATGGGTAACATGGGCTCAAAGAAATAAACGCAAAGTCAGATGCAACCAGTGAACTAGGATGAGACTTTAAAATGTTCAACATTACATCTGACTTTAAATTCATATTAAAGAATTACATAGATTTGATTGATTACCGTTATTGTTAACATTAAATATAAACATTAAAACCAGCTGTAAATAAAAATAAAAGTAAAAGGATCAGACATTTCTGATAAGCAGCATGTGAGCCATTCAAAATAAATATGCAGCATTTTTGTTAAAGCTTCCAGTTTTGACACATGTGTGAAACAAAGGGATTAAAAACAGCTTGTTTATATGATGTGATTTTGTCCAAAAACAACCATGAGCTGCTGAGCCTGTCATTTTAATCCTAGAACCTTCACAATGTGATGTTTTCAAACAGATTTTCCAGGTTACCAAATAATGTTGGATGACCACCCAGAAAAAAGAAATCTCAAGCCAATTTGGCTGCAGGTCTTACCACTGAGTGCAAACACATGCTGGAGCATAGGGCTGACAGTGAGCCCAGTGGGACAGACTGTCTGAGCCAAACCTGACCACTGTCACAACAGACCTCACCCACTGCCTCACCGAGGGTCTCCACTGTGGTGACAAGACTGGTTTACAGCCAAGATGGAGTGCATCTGAAACTGGTTAACTTTATTTTGCATGTACGTAGCCTACATTTTACACAAAATTAACCAAAAGTTTCGATGATGTTTGAAGCTGTGCGATAGTGTGGTTGTCCCGACAGACTTCCACTGCACGTCTAATTCCCTTCATCTCTACACGTGCTGCTCCCTGCTGTGCACGTCGACGCTCGTCTGCCCTGACTCCTGCCGCTCATTTAACACAAACCCTAGGATCATGGTGCTCCTGTCCACAGAGACATCTGCCTCACTGACACCAAAGTGACCTTCACACCCTCCCACCGTCTGATCAGTGCAGCACCGACAGTGAGGAGAGCTACACGAGCTGTCCTGCCCACAGTTGTTATCAAGCTATTGATGGCGTCTTTGGATGCGAGCCAGTCTGTGTGTCTGTGATGATGGAGGATCCTTCCTGCCTTGCCTTCTAAACATTCTCTAGACAGAGGTATTTTATAAGTGACAGAACCATTAGTATTGTCTCAGGAATTCATAGAACTAAAAATACGCCCCATTGGCTACTTGGTGCAAAAACAACACATTTTATTTCAGGATATGCAGAAACTAAACAACTTGTTGGTTGAGTACAGTGTTACCCTCAAAGTGGTGAAAATATCAATACAAATGTAATGCAACATGAACAACTCTCGGATGAGACACATCATACTAATTATTTTTTTGTTTTCTCATTTTGTCAAAGTCCCAACTAGTTTATTGACAAGTAAATGCATTATTTTTCAAGAGTGTTGTTGTACAAATGAAATTGTAATCATTCCCTGCACACCTTCTTAGTGTGAAGAGCAAAAACAACAGCTGTCCACATTAGAAAGCGGTTTAGAAGAAGGAACATGTCAATTAAATACTAAACAAATTTAAACACATAAAAATGTGCCTGAGTTGAAGAGGTTTTAGTTTTAAATTCCATTTTGATGACATTCTTCCACCAATCTTACTCTGTAGTTGACCCTGTAAAATACAGCTGCTTAAAGAAAGGCATCATGAACGCATTCAGTGTCCAAAGCCTTTCTGTTCTCTGACAGATTTCTATACAGACCGTCATCACACCATCGCCTAATTCCTGTTGTATTTCCTCTGTGTGTGTGGCAATTTGTGTGCCACACACACACACACAAATTGCCTATCACCAGTGAAGGAGTGGCAGAAAAAACAGGAACAGATGGACATTTACCAGGACAGATGCTCCACACATCAACACAGGATGTGCAGAAGTAGCGCCAACAGAAAAAAAGACACTGTATACAGGTGCAAATAATAATTCATAGGAAAAACAAAAATGCATTACACCTTTTATTAATAACATTTTAAAATTTACTGCACTGGGAGGTGTTATTTCCAAGTTGGTAGAATTGCACCTCAGTGGTAACTTGGCAGCTGGTGGACTCGAACTTGAAGGGTCCTTCCAGACCCAAGTCCGCTTTCTTAACCACTAAGCCAGCACTGCCCACATTTAAACTGTATGACTGATTCCCCTTCGTAATCAGATTGTGACAAACCCATCCCTTATGCTTTCACATTATCTACACCTTATATAGTCCACATATCAGTAACTAAAATATATTATAATATATTATAAATATTATAAATAGTCTATATAAATATAGAATATTTTCCACAAAATAAATTAAATGCCCTCAGTTTGTAAATAACCCCCCAAAATCAGGCTAATGCTACTATTTGACTTTCAGACCAATGCTGTTTTACATCAGGTAGGCAAACAAATTAAATAGTGTCAGTGAACATTTACCTGCTCTCCTTGAAACTTGTCATATTTTAATATAAACTGTTTCCCCAATTAGAGAAGCCAAACCTGGTCGAAATTACATTTCCTTCACAAACCATTTGCAGTAGCATATTAGCTGTATATATAAAAGTATATTACAGGAAATGGGATTGCACATCACATCAGATATGTATCCTCACAAAAGTGGGTTAAAACCAAGCTTTATTTTATATAACAAAGAGTGTGTCCTTTTTTTTATTTTAATTAAGTTGTTATAAAATATATTTTTTAAACCTTTCAGCAATACAATAAGTAGGTCTTGAATGTGTAGTTTCTTTAGAAAAAGAGATGGTCACTTCTCAAATTAAGGTCTTTGTTGCCATGAACCCTTCTGTTCCACCTTGTTTATACAGTATGTTTTACAAAAAGAAGAGAAAAAAAAAGGTTTTCTGTATTAGAAACAGAAAAGTGTTGTGAAATCCAATGGTTTTTAGAGAAATATTTATATAAATGAACTGCAGGACAGTCTGCGAGGTCCTTGGTTGCAGCTCTCTATGGTAAATAGAGCTAAAAAAAAGTAACTAAGATCACTGGTCATTTTCATGTTTGCCTTAGGATTCTGTAAAAGGGAATGTTTACTTAATGGACAGCTGTATGATGATGTTGTTACCTGCAACAGCAGCTCTAGCGTGCCCTCACTCTCATTGTCTGAAGATACATGACAGGCATTTCACTTGTCTCTTGTGACGTTTCCTTGTCATCCTGAAGACATGCTATGGTTCCACTCTGCCTGATCGTCTCATTTTGTCAACAGACACAGTGATAAGTTATAGTTATAATTACTTCCTAAATCAGTTGAACTGTAACCAGTTGTTTAAAATACAGTTACATAAATATTGCTTAAATGTTTAAAGATTTTTTTTAATTAGGTACCAAAACAAAAGAAAACATGAATATTTATCTATTTAGCCTTTTTACCCACGTGTAACTATAATGTTAATTTCACCAGATGTCAAACACTAATCTCTCTCGCTCTCTCTCTGTCTCTCTGCCTGTCATTCCATATGCTGCCTTTAAACCACCGTTCCTTCCCCACCCTTCATCTCTGAAGGATGTGAGATCTTTTTTCACCCCTTAATATAATCTGCTCAGAAAGATGCATCAAGGCCTGGAGGCAGCCACTCTAATGTGTTCTATTGCCTCAATAAACACATTTAACATGAGATGAGATGACAGACTGAAATATGGCCATGCTGTGGAAATTCAAATGAGGGACATCAATTTGGCTTGGAAACAGGGATCTGTGGGACTTGGGATTTTAGAATGGTAACATTCTAAAATCTAGCAGCTGAGGTGGGTGTCACTTCTTAAATATTTTATTAAATACTGTACATGATAACTTTATTGAGAAGTAATAATAAGGAATCTGGGAATGATGTCTTGAAAGTGGGCCAAATGGAGAAAGAGAAAAAAAGATAAACAGAGAGACACAGTAGAGATGGAGAGATGGAGAGATAGAAATATGAGAGGGAGACAAAGACGGGGAGAGAGAAAGACAGAGGGAGACAGAGACACACAGAGAGAGCAACATGTAGCCTTTGCTCATCCTCTGTAGCCAAATCCTGTTTTGTCCCTCGTTGGGAACAGAGATGAGACAGGAAGAGAAACAGCAGGAAACTGCCTCCAGATTGAATTATACATGCCTCCATCTGCTGACAGAGGACAAGTCTGTCAGGCCTCCTCAGTGTCAACACACACACACACATAGTGAAACGCACACATTCTCTCCCACTCTTTTTGCTGATGAAGACCCACAGTTCATGGGGCCAGTTAGTCTGTATCAAACACTGTCCCTCAGGTTAACTCTTCTGTTCACTTCTCTGCTTCACTGACACAAGAGCAAACAGGGAGCGTGCATCTGTATTCCCAGCAGAGCTCCCCTACAACCATATACACTAGATGGTACTTTTATGGCACATCAGGCAGCACTCATATTTTACAGCGGCTGCCATTTTGATAATATTTTATGGCATTTTTTTCTCTATCGGGAGAAATAGATCCAATATACAGT